TTTAGATCACCCCTGATGAAGACACTAGACTGGAGTGTCGAAACGTTGGGTCTTGATTACAATTCGACTGGGCTTTGTAATCATTTATTTAAACCAGAGTAGCGAGCGAAACATGAATAACAACATTGTTACAACTTGTTGACAAGCTTGCTACATGCCTGTTACGAACACATCTTGTTGACAAATTGTGACACTTTTACGTCTGTAGTCATTGTTATATGATTTTGGTTTTTGTTTTGCGCTATCCAAGTGTTTCACAAACGATCTGTGATAAGAAGCTTCCGACCTAGTTAAAGGTTAACAATGTTTTTATTTTTCTGTAGTTTTCGTCAATTTTGCATCAACTATTGCAACGAGAAACTCCAGCAACTGTTCATTGAGCTGACATTGAAATCTGAACAAGAGGAATATATGAGGGAAGGCATTGAGGTTTGTGATAATTAAAATTATAATAATAATGATTTATTTAATGTTGATTGCACAAGCCGTGGTTGCGCAATTCACCTGAGGCTCCCAACACTATCATGTATTCTATTAAAACATAGTTGGAACACTCACGAAAGCTTTATTTTGTTCATTTAAAACTTGAAATATCCCCTGCAACAATGCGTGACTACCAACTCTCATCAACTCTTATCCTCGTTTCACCGAGGCTCAGTTAAACCTTGCTCAAACCACAATCGGATAGTTGATGAGAGTTGAGAAGCGAGTGTTTGTGTGAGAGTTGATGAGAGTTGAGAAGCGAGAGTTTGCATGAGAGTTGATGATTGAGAAGCGAGAGTTTGCATGAGTGTTGATGAGAGTTGAGAAGCGAGAGTTTGCATGAGAGTTGATGATTGAGAAGCGAGAGTTTGCATGAGAGTTGAGAAGTGAGAGTTTGTGTGAGAGTTGATGAGAGTTGAGAAGCGAGAGTTTGCATGAGAGTTGATGATTGAGAAGCGAGAGTTTGCACGAGAGTTGATGAGAGTTGAGAAGCGAGAGTTTGCATGAGAGTTGATGAGAGTTGAGAAGTGAGAGTTTGCATAAGAGTTGATGAGAGTTGAGAAGTGAGAGTTTGCATGAGAGTTGATGAGAGTTGAGAAGCGAGAGTTTGCATGAGAGTTGAGAAGCGAAAGTTTGCATGAGAGTTGATGAGAGTTGAGAAGCGAGAGTTTGTATATGAGAGTTGATGAGAATTGAGAAGCGAGAGTTTGCATGAGAGTTGAGAAGCGAAAGTTTGCATGAGAGTTTATGGGAGTTGACTGAATATTACCGCGCGATTACAAAAACTCTCATCAACTCTCATAAAATAATTTGAACCAGCTCAAAGTTGGCGAGAGTTGATGAGAGTTGGTGAGAGTCGATGAACCAACCAAACTCTACTTACATGAGTTTTCAAACACTGGGAACAAGAGTGATATGAGAGTTAATGAGAGTTGACTGGATGTTCTGGTTAAACGAACAAAAACTCTCATCAACTCTCATAAAAAACTTGAACTTCATAATAGTGCAGCCTTAAACAACAAGACTGTTAGGTTACGTTGTGGGATAAAATAGTTCTTTCATCTATGTTATAAACTGGAAAAATTTCGAAGTACAGTATATCTCATTCTACCATGCATTCTAACATTCTACTCTACATAAAATTTTTTAAAAATTTCGAACGTGTCCACATCACAACAGTCAAGCAGTTCTTTGATCTATGCTAAATTTGAGAAAGTTTGAGATATATGTCAAAGTTTAAAAATTCTACAAAATATATATCCAAGAATGTTCGATCATCTCTAAATCACAACAGCTGTAGCGCAGTAACTTTTTTTGTTCATTTCAGGAAGTTCCTGCCATGAAAATCGCTCAAAATTGAAACCTTCAACTGATTTCATAAACCACCCTCTCTCATCACACCCTCCTAGTACTACAATTGTATTCTCAATAACAACTGCCGTACATCCTTTCCTCTTGTATAACATGGGAGGCAACATATGACTGTTTCCAGTCTTGATGTTATAAATTATAACATTGTTTAATGCTTTACCATCCTTGTCAGCCCCACCAATGATCACGACATTCTCAGCCCACTTGACTGTCGCCATTTGACTCACTGGATAGGGAAGCGCAGGTAACTGTTGACATTCATTCTTCTTGATGTCATAGCTTAACACACTGCTGAGGGTGTGTTCGCAGTCCCATGATTTCTTTCCCCCAACGATCAAAATACTATCATCACACAGTACTGTGCTGTGATGAACTCTTGGTTCAGGCATCTTGGATACCAGTTTAACAGTGTAAGGTGGTTTAAGTTGAACTTCATGAATACAGTCAAAGTAGAGATCTTGATCTTCATTAATACCGCCAGTAACCAACAAGCTATCCTTGTACACCACACTGCTGTGTGCAGACATCTTGGCAGGAAGTTTGGCAGCAAAATCACTCCAGTTATGTGAGAGATCGCGGACTGGGTGAATGTTCATTCGGATCATGCTATCTACAGCAGCATCACAATAACCTCCCGCCACAGTCACGTGATTATTGTAGAGAAATGAAGATGCGCCGTTACGACTCTCTGGCATGGGCTTTAATAAAGACCACAATCTTTGACGGTAGTTAAATATTTCTACCGAGTTTCTCCCAAAACCACCAGCAACAAATATATGTTGATTTTCTCTCCCGCCACTCGCTGTGCCACTTACATCTCTTGTGATTTCCTCCTGCTTTCTTTCTTTGCTCTCTATCTTCTCAAGTACTGTTTCTTTCAAGTGATCAAAGCCATCTTTTACTTCATTTAAACTTATTTTCACTTCTCTCACTTCATTATTCATCGCTTCGAATTTCGCTTCCACTTTCGCGTGCAAATTTGCCATTTTCGTGTTCATGTTTTCCAGTTTCGTGTTCGTGTTTTCCATTTTCGTTTTTACATCTGCTATTTCAGTTCTAATATTTGCCATGTTCGTGTTCGTGTTTGCCAATTTCGTTCGGGTATCCGCCTGATTCGTGTTGATGTTTGTGTTCAGGTTTGCGACTTCCGTTTTCATTCCCGCCATCATCGTGCTGATTTCTCCACAGTTGTGACACTTCAACTTTCTAAATTGACACAGTTCACTCTCGTGATATGTACGATCTCTTTTACTGATTGTCTCACCACAACCTTGATTTCCACAAACGACTGGAGTAAACCCGCATTCGACGACATGTCGCTTTAAATTCTGCAGCTGTACGAGTTCTCGACATCCTCTGTCGTAATGATCGCAACGTATACTTAGTTCGTTTAAGTAATTCTTCACAATTCTTGGAACGTCTTGCAATGTTTCGACACTCAGCTCGTCAGCACACGTTGGGCATGTATGGGAATTCGTACGAAGATGTTCCGTGATGCAGCCGCGGCAAAAATGGTGCTCGTTTCTGCGGCACGTCACAGGGTCTTTCAATACGTTGTAGCAAATCAAACAGTGGAAATTTTGGTTCACTATCGACTCGAATCTTTCGTCATCGTACCCGAGTGGATAATTTGATGCCATATTTACTCGCTGTTTTGCTAAATTGAAAATAAAGCAAGTATTAGATGCTTAGTACTACTGATCGCTGTGCTCTACAAATCTTGTCCAAATATAAGCTTGATGTCATATTTTATACTCACCGTTCTTAAAATATAAAGCAAATTATATTCTTACTTCAACCAGTTTCAAGCACAAATATCCTCACATAAACAGTCATATAAGATATCCGTATACACAGGCTTTGTTTTCGTAAGTTTGTAATAGTATTTCCTTGAAATTTATAACTGAAAGAACCATTTTAAACAACAGACGTATATCACTTCCTTGTAAGTCGTTTTATTGCCACGTAGGCCTATATAGAGCGTCTTGTCCAGACAAGAATTTGATCTGAAATGAAATATTCAAAGTCTTGTGACAAAAGGTCATGACTTCGCTTTTAATATTGGTTTTTGATTGGTTGAGCTGTTCCATGTATTGCAATTTGTTTATATATGTCAAACAAGTGCTATATTGGGAGTATAAATATTCAAGATTTTTGTGGCCGCGCTATCTTACAAGGATGTGATGATGTGACAATGTCCACTTCGGAAATTGACGGCAGAGGTAAAGCGGTTAACGATTCTTTGTTTTCCGAGTTCGATTTGATTCCGAAAAATTCCGATCATAGGTCATTGACATTGTCGCGAGACAGTCATTCATATACAAATATTGCGAAGTTTGTGACGTAAAACGGTTTTTTCTTACGTTTACTACGTACGTCATTTGTTTAGTTTTTTTCTTGATTTGTAAATTGCAGAACTAGTTTCGTCAAAAACGCAAAGAAAAACCTGTTTTGAACTGTCCCATGTTGGATATTAGAGAGTTTGAGCAAGACAACGAAGTACGAAGACGAAGGCATTCTTGACAATTTTTGCCATCTGTACATTATCTTGCACATACCGGTGTTGACGTAAGTGGTGGTTGCATGCTCAACGTGTCTTCCCATGTGTCACTGTTTATGATACTGACCATAATTCATGCCCTGATACAGAAAAAAACAGCGAGACATGAAACTATATCCTGTCTTTGTCCTTCTGCTTTCGTGCAGAACGAAGTTCACAACGAATTTTGCCAAAATATTCGTTGTGAACGAAGGCAGAAGACGAAGACGGGATATGGATTCATATCTCGCTGTTTTATCCTGATCAGGGTAAGGATTTGGGTCATCATTCACAAACAGCTAGGCATAAATCTCTAATCTGTCTTCAGTCCTGACCCTAAACTCAGAATGCGCAAGGTAATGTGCAAGACAAGCAAACATTGTCAAACACGTCGTCGTCGTCCGACTTCGTTGTCTTGCTCAAACTCTCTATTAAATTGCGTGTGAAATTGTTTAAAACTGTGAAGTAATCAATATTCTAGAGTCGATATTCAACGTTTTTTAGCAAGGCTTTTCGCTATAAAAGCTGTATGCTTCATAATTCAAACTATTATATTCTAGCCATTATATTACGGCAAAGAGTCACTTAGTGAGCTACACTCTTCGTCGACGTCATGAGATAAACCTCCGCGGTAGATCGTGAATTTTAGAAGTCGATTATCGGAAATTGAAATGTTTAGCTATTCGCTTGATTTGCAAATCCCAGAACTGAGTTCGCCGAAGCGTAAAGAAAATCGTTTTGGGAGTTAAGCAACGATGTTTATATCCATAGCCAGAAATCACGGAAATGATTTATTCTATTTTTTTAATAATATTTATTTTCAGGAAGCTTTCTCACAAAGTGATTTTCAGAAAGTCCTGAACTAAATAAACAAATTTGCAAGGAAGACATGCATATACTACATAACTATGAGAAATATTTAAAAATTATACGAGGGAACGTTCAAAGATTGCTAAAAAAGTTTCTCCTATAAATGTAGAAATGCTTCAACAGTAAACAGTGAATTATATAACGCGATGTTGTTAATCACAAAATCTGAGAATAATGTAGTAGGTCGTTTGCAACTTGCCTCAATCGCTGGCTGCAAAACAAACAAAACAAAACAAAGTTGTGAGGGACAACCTTGTGAGCAACTTGACAAAAATAGCAGCATTGTTACAACTTGTTGACAAGCTTGCTACAAGCCTGTTGCGAACACTCTGATCAGTCTTGTTGACAAGTTGTGAGATTTTCACGTGTGTACTACCTGCACACATGTCTCACATCTTGTCGTCATCAAGTTTGGAACAAGCTGTTGACAACTTGTAGTAACAATCTTGTTGACATTATCGTACTTGTTGCAAGGTTATTCCAACAAGTCCGATACAGTCATGATATAACAATATTGTTACGAACTTGTGTTGTCAACCTTGTAACATTCTTGTTATATCATGAC